ACGGAGAGTCTCCAGACTGATCTGCGAGTGAAATCTTGAAAGCTTGCGAGATCAGGATGGTCTCACGAGGCTACATTTACCCTTTATTTGAGTAGGTAAATGAGATGATTTGCCAATGGAATTAGTATTTTTACAATTAAAATAAGATATTTGGGTAAAATGCACTTGAAATAAGACAATGCAATTGGGTTTTCCTATTTTAAATGTAAATTGTCTTGTTCCATAGGCAAAATGTGTCTTTTTAACCTTCTCAATTCAAGAACAAGTGCACTTATTTTAAGAAATAATGACTTATCTAGATTTAGATTTTTTTCCAGTGTAGAGATGTAGGTGGATGAAAGACTCTTTGACATCCTGTAATCTAAAGAAGAGAGTTGTAAGATGTAGTCCTAGATGCCAGGTACTTTAACACTGTTTCCAGCCGTTTGAGAAGAGTGAAAGGCCCAAAGCATCACAGATCCTTCACCATAACGTCAGTATTTAGCATTCGAGTTTGTGGACGCCCATATATGTCATTGTTTGATAACTGTTTCAAACATAACAATGACAAAAATGTTATTTACTGATATTTTGTGCATTTAAACAAGGTGGAAAAAAGGAGTCTTACAAACAGTGAAAAGTAATACATGTACAACAGACTAACTATGAATAAAATAAAAAAGAACTGGATTTTTTTATTTTATTTATATTTTTGTTTTTATGTTTATTTTTTTTAACTTTTACCCAATATACTACAACATCCAACTGCCATGCACATGGGCATTGACAGTTTAACAATAGCTCTCATGAATTTCAAAGGTGAAGTCCTCTGGAAATCTTAAATAATTGTTGTTGATTGCATATGTGTCTAATTGTTCTCATTGATTTTGCTTGTAAAGCAAGGAAAATTATGTAGGAGTGAGGTGTTACTATATTTTGGCAAAAATTGCCGTTTCCAGGCTCAGTGATCACAGCAAAAATTATTGTTTTTATTGTTTTTACTGATTAATGCTAAATTCATTTAAATCACAGCCAACGTATTAGTTTTAGGGATAGATAATGATCCATTGATTATTTCTTGCTGACCGGACTTGTTCTTTAAAATCTTCCACCAAGAAATTTGTCAGATTTTAACATTCTGATAAAGTCATAAAGGAAGCCTTAAGATCTATTGCTTTTCTTAGCTTTTCCAGCCTGATAGATATGGTGGCCTGATCTTTACCAGTCCCAGAGCAGTGGAGGCTGCAAAGAAGTGCTTAGAGGCTGAAGACAAAATAGAAGGTAAGCGTTTCCCCTAAAATAAGCAAACATTGACAGATATTTGTTTTGCATTTCCCTTTTGAAAAGGGAAAATTTACATTATGATTGTTAAAATATGTGTTTTTCATCCAGAATGGAACAAATCCATGAAAGCCAAATGGAACATGAAATCCATCTATGTGGTTGGAAAGGCAACTGCAGCTTTGGGTGAGTTGTTTCCTGAAGGGGCTTACTGTATAGTGCACCTTATAAACTAATTGTAATTGTGTCTGTGTTATGTGCACCTGGTGCCTGCAGACATTTGTGAAGTGGTTTAATCACAACCAGCAAGGTGCTAGGCACAAGTGACAGTTTGCTGTGACAGAAGCTCAGCTTGGTCTTCAGATAGCAAGCAGGTGCAAAAAGCTTCCCCTTGTTTGCTTGCCCTTATTTTTTTAATTGAAAAGAAACTTCTCCATTGTCTATTTTTAAAGGCTGAATTTACTTTTTTGACGAGTGTTTTTGTTTTTCAATTTGTAAAGTAGATAATTTTATGCCTGTTTGTTTGTAATTTGATCTTTCCTCCTCTATACTGTGTGGCTGTTAGTCTAAGGCACTAGATTTTTGCTCAGCTAAACATGTAGCTTAACTACAAATACTCATTATATTCTCACAGTGATGCACAGTAACAATGTTTTACTTTTCCACATTGTGACATATTACAGCATCAAACTGTATGTTGTGAGGATTATTGGTAAAATGATAATCATAATCCACTTTGTGATTAGAAGTTATATAAGGTATAAAATTCTCCAAAAATTCATTTAATGTTTTTGTTTTATTGGGAAAATATCTTTCAAAGATGTTCTCTTAAATTATGAATAAACTCTCCATTTATTTTATATTTCTTTATAATATTCTTAACAAAATGTTCTGAAAATCTTTTGATGTGAACCTGATAAAAGTTTTTCCAGACTGTTTTAGTTTTTTTTATAATTCTATGCCTATAAAAGACCCCTTTCTTTTTTCTTTTTTTCTTTTTTTACCAGAATCTAAGAATGTTCAAATCTTTTTTGTCGTATTTATTTTTCAACAAGCCTTGTAAAGTTATTCAAATTCTATATTTAAAAAGAACAAAATAAAATTTGTTTTGTTGCATCTTTATTATTTTAGTTTGAAGCAGATTGTCTCAAACATAGAAAGTGTTAAAAGCTGGTATAAGAACTTAAAAAAACAAAACAAACAGAACAGTCTGTGACTGACAGTCAAACAATGTTATCGCTCTATTATCATTTCCCTTCGAAGGTTATTAAATAAAAACTTAACATAGAGTAGATGATTTACTGGAGGAATATTTGTCTCAGGTCTTTGTTTGATTTTGTGTTTTCTTAATCTTTCTTTCACAAGCTCTTCATCGGTTCTAGATTTTGAAAAAGATTTTGCTTGTAAAATATAGGAAGCATTTTCTCCATTTTATCCTAGAAAAAAGAATAACAGTTTTTTCTGTAAAGTATAACAAAAATCTGTATTTAGGTCTGCAAAAAAAACAACAGCTGTAAATAATTTTAGTTACTGAGCAAATGCTGTTGGTTTCGGTGAACAGGTTTAAATTTCCTTTTAATTTCTTCTCTGAATTTCTCAGTAGTATTAGAGTCACTGTCACACTCTTTTTTTATTCTGTGCTTTTTTTCCCCTTATTATCTACCTCTGAAAGAGCCGATTACCATTTACAACTGTATAGATCAGTTGTTAAAGGTGTCGTGGAAGATTTTCTCAAATTTTTTAAGATTCTTCTCTCCATTAAAAAAAAAAAAAAATGAGCGTGCGAGAGCATGCACAAGCCCATTACTCCTAGTGCACGCTATGTTTGAAAGTTGCTGTTCTCATAACTCATACGTCCACTCTAACCCCTAAATCCCTCAATCACTATATAGCGTGAGGACTATATAGTAGATTTCATAGCGAACTCAGTTAACTTACTGTTAGGACAGATGATCACTGCTTTTTGCTCCGTTGGTCACGTAACTCCTCCTCCGCTGCATGGTGCCTTTGTTATTATTTGCTGCTGTCAGGCAGCAACAGCCAATGGTGACAGCGGGCCAGACAGAAAATCCCATAATGCTTTGCGAAGAGGGCTCTCTGGGCAAAGCATTCTGGGATATATCTGCCGCTTCTGAGGCCTTTCTTTTGTTGTCATACACTTCGTTAACACTTTTTCTCTTTCGAGCCTCGGCCATTTTCAAAGAACCGCTTTGAGAAAGGTGAGCTTCAATGATTGTCTGAATCCGTAGCTCACCACAGATTATACGCCTGAAAGTGCGCATGCGCAGAAACAAAAGCTAAAGGGACAGGCATATAGGATAGCCTTATGTAAACATCACCAGAATGATTGACAGTTAGGAGGACCAATTATTTAGATGATCCACCCGAAAATAAAAGATCGTCCCCTATACCTTTAAAACCAGGTTAAAAGTAAGCAGACAGTTTCTCAATTTATTATTTTCTCCTTAGTGCTAATTTAAATTTAATTCAATTTAAAATCTTTTTTAATGAAAGGTATTGTGGTAATCTTTTTCTGCATTTCTCTGTGCAGTTCAGAGTCTGGGTCTGGAGCCCCTGGGGGAGGACACAGGGACAGCTGACGTCTTATCACGTCTCATCATTGAACGTATGATGGATTTACGCTGTTTCTTTTACTCTTAATAGAAATTTTGTCCTCTCCTAATAAGTATCTTGACGTGATTCATCTTTCTGTAGGAGAGGACACTAGTATCCAACCACTTTTTTTCCCCTGTGGCTCAATTAAAAGAGAAGTGTTGCCCACGGCTTTAAGGGAAAACGGTAAGCATCTTCTTTTATTGTTACTAATGATTAAAACTCAAATCCATAAAATACCCGCTGGGGTTCGGCTAATTAATGAGATAATAACTGCACTACCTTTGTCACTGTGGGGATTTATTTCTTTGTTTCCAGGAATTCCCTTAGAGACGCTGACTGTCTATCAAACAGCTGAACATCCAGATCTTGAGAAGAATCTGAGAATCTACTTCACAGAGCAGGTAAAGCCCAAACTGGTCTATTTTTAAGTTGTAACCATGGTTTTATATATAATAATAATAATGTATTTGTCTGCTAACAGGGGACTCCTGCCAGCATAGCTTTCTTCAGTCCATCTGGGGTAAAGTTTTGTCTAGAAGCAATTCGGAGGCTGTCTGGTGAACGGCTCTCTAAAATAAAGGTATTATTTCCTCGCTGCTCAAAAAAAAATTTAGTTTTTGCTTTTTTTCTCTCTCTTTGTAAAGAGGGTCACACCAGCAAACGTTATCCCCATTCTTATATTTTTAATTCTTTCTTTTTTTTTTTAAAGCTATTCAAACCTATAAAACCCTTTTACATGCTGACACATTACAGCCACAATGTATTTTTTTTATGTAAAATGATCTAATATGATGATAAAGCAACACAAAGTATTGCAGGACTGGGAAGTAAATTTTTTATCCTAATTAGAATCTAAAATGTTTTGTATTCAATTCTATTTAAAGCTGTAATAGAGGATTATTGCAAATTTTTGAAAAGGCCCGCCCTTTCCACTTAAAAAAAAAATGCACATGCAGAACCCTATACCCACCTATACCCACCACTAAAAGGGGACGCCTATTAAAAGAATTAGAACATCCTCCTTTATCCCTTTAATTTAGTAGAATAGAAGGCATTAGAGTGGTTTAGAATTGATCTGATGATCTAACAGAGTCCGCCTGAATATAATGTAACTCCACTGAAGAAATGTTTTTCTTTACTGGTTGACAAGTGCAATAAAATGGTGCAATATTATGTACAGTGAAATGCCAGATTGTTCATTTCTACCTCAACATCTTAATCCATGCTGCTTCTACACTTGTCTTTGTTATTAGCTGTTTTATTTTCAGATCCCAACTCCATATTACTTACTTCACTAAAATTACTTTTTTATTAGCTCTATTATATTTATAATCATCCACACTATTTATTACCTAACCTACATACAAAACTCACTGTACCTGGTAGCCAAGCAATGACATTTGTTTTCAAATTCACTATATGGCTTTGTACAGTGAAAATAAAACTAATTCTAATGTGAACAAGTATAGTTTTTTCTTGAATTTTAAAACCTTAAAAGTATAGTTTTTCTTGAATTTTAAAACCTTAAAAGTATAGTTTTTTTTTGCTCTGAAAGAAATATTGTCTTTTTTTTTTATTCCCAGCATTCATTCTCAGAAGCTCTCCATAGAGTATCAAATCATTTCCTTAAAAACAAATCTTTTCTTCTCTAGATATAAAGCAAAATTTTCATTTTTTTTTTTTTTTTTTTTGTAAAACTTAAAAATGTTTCATCTTCTTGTGCTACATTTTGTTGCTTGTCTCATAAATTAAGATTTTCCAACTGTTTTAATTGTTTCATCAATAGCACCGCTGAGGTGGCAACCAGTAAACCTTCCCCAGATGCTGTGTTCAGGAAGCTGAATTTTCTGCACAGATCTTTCTTTTCTGGAGCCGCTCCTTTTTAGCTTTAAACCACAGCTCTGTTTGCTACCATCCATGAATACATTTTTTTTCTTTTGAATATTTAATGCATGAGTTCTTTCTCAATCTAAACTCAAACTTAGCTCAATCTGAGACCCATTGAATAATACATGGGTTTAGGGCTGCAACTAATGATTATTTTGCAAATCGATTAACGTTGATTATTTTTTCGATTAATAGGTTAATAATAATTAACCTATTCTAGGTTTGGATAGCCAAAGGTTCCTTAAAGATTTTTTACAAAATCTTTAAGGAACCGATAAAAGGTTTAAAATGAAGCAGAGGTACTTTTTCCCCCATTTAATTTCAGGTTAAAAGGTTTCAGCTTTAGGAGTTCTGCATAGAGCATAATGACAGACGAAAATTTATTTTTTGGTCTTAAATGAATTTTTTTTTTATATTGTTTTACAATTTTTATATAATTCCTGCTCTAAGTGGGTAAGCCAAAGGGATATATTACAGTCTTATACTCCAGTTAACGATTAATTGATTACTAAATTAGTTGACGATTATTTCAGTAATTGATCAATCACGATTAATACGCTTAATTTTTTTAGACCAACATGGATTATAAATGTATTATTTAAGACTGACTCTGTTACTTTGTGTTCAGTTCGCAGCCATCGGGCCGACAACGCAAGATGCTCTGTCAGCAGAGGGTCTGTGTGTGAGCTGCACAGCTGAGAAGCCGACGGCCGAGCATTTGGCAGCAGCCATAGCCGGGGTTCTACAGTGACATCAACAACGCATCGAGATTTAAATCTGCCTAATCTCTTTGATTCTACAATATGTGTGTTATATGGAATATTTTGCTGCTCATGTCACGAATCCCAAGTCCAAACAGACCAAGATCTATGTGATTAAGCTCAAGGAACTGTATTTAATGTCAAACCTTTCAGGGAGTAGAAAATCATTTTTGACAATAAAGGTCGGTCTGTGTGATTAAAGATCCTAAGGTGTGCTGTTTCTGTTTAAAAACAGGTGACTGCAAATGTTTTTTTACTTCCTTTATTGCTCACATGTAGGCGAGGTTTTCCCCTAGACCACATGTTAGTGACTGTTTATCTTAACAATTGGAGCATGAATAACATCCATGGACAACAATCAAATTTATTAGCTGTGTTATCTGAGGTAAAGTTTACTATTCACACACCTCTGATGAAAGTGGGTGTGGAGAAACTCAGGATTTTCTTATAAAGCAATGCTTCTCTGTCTTTGAAATACTCAGTTTCTCTGCACAGCTCACCGAGGTAACCAACAACACGATGCTGACCGTAATCCAGCTGATATTTTTAGTTTTTCTGACAAACTCAATCCGTGCTGAGAAGCTTTTCCATAACCGGGATCATTCTGATGTGCAGATTCCTACATCTCACCAGGCTCCTGTCATAAAAGACGAATATGAAGCAGAGGTACCTTTTTCCCCCTTTTAATTTCCAGGTTTTACTGCCAATTTAAGTAGAAAAAACTATAGTTAGTAAATTTTGTGAAAGTTGTAAAAGAAAAAATGTTGGTCTAGCAGCAAAGAAAATATATGTATTATATTCATATGTAATATGAACAAATGTTTGAGGGGGAAATATGTTGCAACATGCAAAAGAAAAAAAAGTTTGATGCAATGTAAAAAATGAAATAAACTGTCCTAAATCTTTCTGGATTTAATTCAACATTTGCTGGTATGCTTATGTTAGTTAATTAGTTAAAGCTGAGCATGTTGACTGGTGCATTTCTTTGTACCTGGAACCGAACTTTCAATTTCCATTTGGAAAAATAGCAAAATATATCTTCAAAAGTCAGAATCCAGACAGAAAAAGTAGAAAGCCCCAGATCTGTTTTACAACATGGCTACTGTATATAAAGTGTAAATAAATAAGGATTTAATTAATTTTTAGTTCCACGTCAGACATCTTTTAATTAGGGCTGGATGATTCATTGATAAAAACGTATTTTCTTTTTATGAAGAGTTAATCTTTGGAAACTTTGGATTTCTTTTTTTTCCAGCAATATGCTCCGTAGCTCAGAGTGACATTAGCGCAACCCTTTTTGTTCATAGATGTCTTCTCATAACTGATCAACTAGGTCACTATGTGATGCCAATAACATTTAGCATGTTATAGTATTGTTTGCTGTTCGAAATTGTTCATATGATGTTATGATGTGTGAATTTCGGGCAGTGAAACATAATCTTTCACTGTTTCAATTTTGTTGCCCTTTAAATTGAGGTTAGGATTGGATTAAAAGCTAGTTTCGAAAGCAATGCATGTCAGGTAATTTTTTATTAACTTATGGGAGACAAAAAAATGCATTTATGGTTGATTTTCCTTTGTGCTCATATGTTACCCTTTTGGAAAGGCGTCCTGTTCAGACATCTCTCCCCATGACTGCTGGAGATATGCACCATTATGTCTACATGAAAGATTATGAATAATTTTAGAAAATCTATTTTTAAAACTAATTATTTTCTGTTGGAGAATCCTAATCCCCCTCATGGTATTTATGCCATTATTTCCTTGTGGATATCCTTTTAGTTATTTCTCTCTAGATATGGATTTATCCAACCAGCTCACCAGGAGGAGATCCAGGTGCATGAGTCTATCCAAGAGGATTTCTTGGACGACCTTCAAGCCACAATCCTGGAGGGAGCCTCTGTACTTCATTCACGGGACGGGCCTAAAACCAGTCATGGAGAAGTGCATAAAAGCGGAACTGAGAATCAAGTGTTTGTTTCAGCACTAAAAGAGTTTCAGATGGTATCTGGGCTTCCTGTTACAGGAGTGTTTGATGATGCTACCAAGGACGCAATGAATAAACCAAGGTGTGGGGTCCCTGATAAGGAGATGGACCTAAACCCCAATGATGCAGCTGAGAGCATTGAGGACTTAGAATTAGAAATCAATGAAAGTTTTAATGAGACTGAAAGTAACAGCACTGACATCAGCAGCATCGGCAGCTCCTCAAACTCCACTGAAGATGACATATTACAGTTTAATGATACTGAGAGCCTCCTGCTGACTACTTTAAATGATACACACATTAATAACAGTGAGAATGGTCCAACTGGAAACAGCACTTGGAACTTAAACCAAAGCCAACAAATGAAGGACAAAAAGCGCCAACTTGCATTTCTCATGTCAAAAAGAAGGCAAAAAAGGGATGTGACGGCAGCTGGGTACATGGCGTTTTCTAAGGATGTTCTGAGGTGGCGTTTAATTGGAGAAGGCTACAGCAGCCAGCTGACCATCGAGGAGCAGAGGTACATCCTCAGGCTGGCCTTCAGAATGTGGAGTGAAGTGTCTCCACTGGAATTTGTAGAAGACACTTGGTCCCCATTGGAGGAAGTTGATATAAAGCTGGGCTTTGGCACAGGTGAGCATTAGTCAGTATGCCATAAACCAACTCTGCAATAATATTAACTTGGTTTTAGTTGTGTCTCTGTAATATTAAGGCAGTTGACTAACATTTTCTTATGTATTTAATTTGTGGATCATAAATGGTGGTCTAAAAATGGCCTTTATGAAACAGGTAAAAGAACAGCATGTGCATAGTTTGCCAGCAAGCTACGCAGGAGAAGGTAATCTGAAATCACAGAGCAAAATATCAAAAGATTAAGGGCAGGAATACTTCTGCAGGGCAACATATAATGCCCTGGGATATACTGAAAATCTGTAGAACAATATGATATTACAATGTGCACGTTTAGTGGAAATTGAGAAATTAAATCTTGTTTCAGACAAGTAGGAGTAAGGATTCCACCTAACAAGGCATTTTCTTTTTTTACTAGTCGAGAATGTTGGATAAACAGAGAAATCTTAATTTAGAGAAATGTGTCATTATTCAAATTAAACATTTATGATCCCAGTTTACTCCTAAGAATATGTATAACTAAAATCTTTTTATGCATTCAAAGTTCTGCATTGCTCTAAAATATTTAATTATTTTTTTATTATTATTATTATTATTTTTTTCATTTCTCACCTTTTTCATCCATGCAGGAAGACATTTGGGATGCAATCAAAGGTTTGATGGCACTGGTCAGGAGTTTGCCCATGCCTGGTTCCTAGGAGATATCCATTTCGATGATGATGAACATTTCACTGGTCCCAGTTCTCACTCTGGTATCAGCCTCCTTAAAGTAAGCAACTATGCTCCATATAATAAATCACAGGAAATTCTTTAGGAGAAGTTGATTTACCGTTCATATGTTGTTTTTTAGGTAGCAGTTCATGAGATTGGTCATGTTTTGGGGCTTCCCCATATCTACAGGCCTGGATCCATAATGCAGCCCAGTTATCTACCTCATGAGTCCAGCTTTGAGATGGACTGGATGGACAGGAAAGCTATTCAGCATCTATATGGTGCACTAATCGATTCACTCTTTTGATATACACGTAACTAATATATCCCAAGAAATTCAGCTTGAGAAAGAAATGAAACTATGAGAGATAATTCCTTCTTATTTCTCCTCATGGTTGACCCCAGGTGGCTGTAAAGGTCGGTTCAGCACTGTCTTTGACTGGATCAGAAAAGAGAAGAGGCCTAATGGAGCAGTAATTATTCGCTTCAACACATACTTCATGAGAGATGGCTGGTACTGGCTGTATGAGAACAGAAACAACAGAACACGTTACGGGGACCCAGTCCCAATGCAGACTGGCTGGCATGGGATTCCTAGTGATGGAGTAGATGCATACGTCCACGTGTGGTCCAGAACAAGAGATTCTGTTTATTTCTTCAAAGGTAGAGATATATTTTTCTTTTCAACTGTTTCCTTAAAGGTAACATTTCTGAAGAGTATTTTTTATTTTTTTTTTTAAAGGTTTTCAGTTTTGGAGATATGATGATGAGAACGACCGGGTATTTAGACAGGACCCTGAAGGTCACCAGTATCCGAGGTTAATCTCTGAGGGATTCCCAGGAATTCCCTGTCCCATTGACACAGCCTTTTATGACCGGAGGGACTCCCGCATCTACTTTTTCAGAAGAACTCAAGTAAGTAATAAATGCTTTGAATCTTTCTGTGTGGGTCTGAATAAAAATGCATGTTGCAGAAAAATAGCACAAAAACATATTAAATTAAGGCAGGCATAGAAAGTTGGACTTCAAACTAAAGTCAGTATTTTAAAATCAAGGAACATGCAAAAACTGAGGTCTGGCAGTAGCTCTGTGAAGGAAGCCCAAGTTGCATTAGCTGCACCAACACATCAGCTCTTATCCTTTCTTTTTAAACTAACCCATTGTTTCATTATGGGCTTCAGGTAGGACAAGTTAAGTGGCCCATCGGGAAGAGTCAAGGTCATTAGTTTGAGCAGGAACCAAGTTCTATTGCAGAATGAACTCAGAAAAGGCCTGTCAGTATAGCTGTGCCTTTAAAACGTTCAAGCTGCACTGACTTTTCATAAAAAAGCAACCCACAATTGAAGGAAACCAGTAAATGGCATCACCTCCCAAATCATGGAGAATTGGAAAGTTCCTACTAAATCTCAAGCTGCTTGTGTTTTCTGCTGTTGTGCCTTAGAGCCATAAGACTAATATGAAAATAAAATGAAATATGAACACAGATAAAGCCCAGTATTTCAGACTGTAGCTAATGTCCTTTTTAGGAAATTCCTGAGGGAGAGTAATCCCAGGACAACCTAGGACCGCCAGGGGTCATCCTCTATATTTGCAGGCAAAAGATGAGGTCTCCTCGTCCCTTAGCTAAAGCCAGACTGCACAGGGCAGACACTGCTTAATATCCGACTTGCTGGAAAGGGATGACAATCTCAAATTAAGAAGGAATTGCTTCTCCATTCAACCCACAACAACAGACAACTAAGAGCAAGCTCTCTGCATCTCTCTTTCTCTGATTGTAGCTTAATGGTGTGTATACAGGAGAAATGTGAAAAACTGAATGATATTTAATTTAATATAAAATAACATGAATTAATTAAAGTGCACAACGCTGCCTCTCCATGTTACCTTTTGACCTTGGACCATTGAGCATCAGTCTGTGAGATTTCAGGTCGTGTCTTGGTTCAGGAAGGAATCAACACAAAGAATGGGACAGTTTCATTCAAACTCTTGAAGTCAAGACTGTAGACATCCCTGTTGTTGCTTGTTATTCTTTCCACTAAGTTTTCAGGATATAGCTCTGTGAAAACAGACAGCTTATTTTGCCACGACCTAATATAGCTTATCCATCTTGTTTTTAAAGATCCCATATTATTATAAATAAATAAATAAAAAAAAATATATATATATATATACATGAACAAAGAGCCCCTAAGATCATATTTTTGCAATTTGTGCAGAAAACTTCCTCTCAGATTGGCAGATGGCCTTTACCAAATTTCTCCTTACTCATTCCTCCTCTGGGGGAGCTGGGTCAGCTTTACACGCCCCATCCTCCCAAAGTCTGTACCCCGACAACCCGCAACCATGACAACCAGTTGGAGTTTGTAAAGATAGCCTAGGAGGGTGGAATAATATATTAGAAGAAGGCTGGAGCGTAATCAATGGGCTGCTATGGACCACTCTGGACTGATTATTTCCCCTTCTGACATCATCAAGGGAATTCTTTTTCAAACAGAGTAATTTGCGCACACAGCTAAGAGGAGGCGAAAAGAGATGATAGAGGTGAAATCATTGTTTTCATTTGTGAAGCTAATACACAGGCTTCAGGGCACATATGAATGTTATAAAATGTTTATAATGTGAATTTTGCATAATACGGGACCTTTAAATCAACATTTTCTTAACCAAATTTAATCAACATAACTTGCTGCAAATGTCAAAGTATCGGGAAGGAAACACAATTATAACTTCCCATGATCTAATCTCTTAAAGCTTTAAAAAAGCAAAACCAGTTACACAGTAAATTACATCTTGTGAAGAGCTCAGTGTTCTGTGAGAATGTATCTATGCTGACAGTCTTACATTTACTCTGCGACTCTTAATTAGTTAGATCTCAGTTTAAAAGATTCATTAACTCTCCGTTTGAACAGGTCTATGCATTCAGCGTGGAAACAAACAGCCTGGCAAGAGGCTTCCCCAAACACATCCGAGATGTTTTCCCTCCAGTGGAGAGCAGGGACCATCCAGATGGCAGCATCGATGCTGCCTACTTCTCCTACTCCCACAATGCCCTCTTTCTACTCAAGGGCACTCGCTTCTGGCGAGTGGTGGGCAGTCGCGATCGCTGGCGCCGGCCTTTTCTGCCACGGAACGGCTTGATGCCACACAAGGAGGTGGATCAGCAGTGGTTTGACATCTGCGACGTTCATCCCACCGCTCTGAAACTAAGCCGCTGATGCTGATGGGGGCGGCAGCAGAGATGAAACACTTCTACTCATGTTTACAGATGGATTCTGCAGATCTACCTTCTAGGGATGTTATTTTCTGTGTGTCTTTGTGTGTGTGTGTGTGTGATGGTGGCATTTTAATCTTTCTAAAAGACAAAAACAACTCTGTTGGCTTGTTTTTACACAAGTGCTAGAAGTTTATGAAAAAGCTACTATTTATTTCTCTTTTATTCCTATACAGAGGAGTGAGAGCCTGGAGGGTTTTCATGTTTGCACAAATGGGTTCACAAAAGATGCTTTTAATTCTGGATTAATGTTAATAAATGTGGGAAATATTGGATTTCACTTGAAGTGATTTGTACTCTGATCCAATCAAAGCTGCTGTTCCCATTATGAGCCTCATTTTCAAAAGAAATTAAAGTTAAAACATTTATTCATTACATAAGACAAATATATTTTTTAGTAGGAAAACCGAAGAAGCAAGAAAGCATGAAGTAAACATTTGGTTGTTAATTAGTAATTTCCCTTAGGCAAGTAAACATCTTGTTTAATACTCCCAGTTTTTGTCAGGAGGATTTTTACTATTTCTTTCTATATAGAAGGATTTCTGCAAAATCCTTTTTGTTGTTGTTGTTGATTTAGGAGATTTAAAGCAAACCAGTCTTTTGAATTTGTTATCTTCCTGCCTTGAAATGACTTGAACCATTGTGAGGAAGAGGAGGACATTTTAGTGCTTTTCACATCTTTTCTGATCTTACTGTACCAGGGTTTGTTAAAGCATATTTATATCATTACTCCTATTTCCCATATGGCTGCAGGTTGGAGCAGTTTGTACCACTGTTGCCTTGCAGCTAGAAGGTCCTGGGTTTGACTTTCCAATCGAGGGTCTTTCTCGATGGTCTCTCTCTGCATGTGTGGGTTTTTTTCAAGGAGCACCAGTTTCCTCCCACAATCCAGAAACATGACTATTAGTCCTTGACTCTAAATTGTCCTTAGGTTTAGGCATTACATCACCCCCTCTTGAGATGTATGAATAAATGTCCCATAAGCAATAAAGGTTATGAATCTTGCCTTTACAGGCAGCAATCACAGTTACACCAAGTACCAGTATATTTCTTTACATTTCTCAGCATTCGAATTTATCAGCAGTCAAAACTTAAATGGTCACTTAGATAGAAAGAATCAGTGTAAAGAATCAAACATAAAGATGGAGGAAATGTGTCTACTGTAGGAAGTAAAAGAATAGTATTGCTTTTTTTAAGGTTCTAACACTTAAATCTGATGGAAGAAGCTGTAGAGGAAAACAAGATTTGGAAATGGTCCTCATCTGTCAGCTTTCAGATGCAGCACCATGATGCATAAGAATAGAGTCTTATGTTTTCATGCCCCTCAGTCCCTAACAGTGTCTCTTTGGATTACTTCTTTTGAGGTTTCCCATCTGTCTCCTTAGAATCTGGCCTGCAGATCTTTGGAGTTTCCTCATTCTGAATCACAAATATATATATATATATATATATATATATATATATATATATATATATATATATATATTTTATTTTTTTATTTTTTTTATACATTCAGTAAGAAATCCCATTTGCATACATTTAATGGATAAAGAGAAAAAAGCAACCATTGTAAGGGTTTCAGGGCCATGTTTACATGCATCCCAGGTCAACTGCAGGTCTATTAACTTCAGTTACTAAGATAGCTGTATTGTAGAATAGATGATACATTAACTCTGACAGGACAGTCACAGAACAATAGAAGAATCACAGCTAATATTTCCATTTCCAAACAAACCAGCAGCAGCGTCAAAAATTAAAGCTATCTGCATCCTGCTTTAGATATTTAGACTTCTATATACAGCTATACAGAATTTAGAAAAAAGGGCATCTAAATAAGTGCACCACTAAGACATAGCAATATTTTTCAATATCTAACTCTTTATAGCAGTCCAAGATGGCAGCCATGGAGGATTCATCCAAAGGTGACAATGAAACAAATGACTGTTTAACAATAAGCAAAGTTTTCTTTTTTAATGATATGTAATCGTGAAATGGGAAATGTTTAGAAATCTTTTTACAGCACTGCTTCAAGACAAAACAGGAAAAAAGCTGAGGTAGAAACTTTGTGCTTCACTTTCTCGGCATGTTCCTAAGTTCTACAGGGTTCTATCTATGCCCTATGCAATATTTGTATGTGTATTTAAGCAGAAATGCATCAAATCATTTTTTCAAATCGATTTTTATCAGTTGTTTTAAAAGGAAAAATTGACCCCCCTCCAAAAAAAATAAAAAAGGAAAAATTGACCCCCCTCCAAAAAAAATAAAAAAATCATGAGAGGTGATCTCTTCAAGCCAGCATTAATCAACAACAGTAAATTGCTTTGTTTTTATTTGCTTATTCAATAAAGATTAAATAGTATTCCTTCAGATTTCTTCAGTTTATTCTGAAACAAACATTTTTGAACTTTCAGACTCCTTAGTTCTATTGTTTTTGCTGCAAGTTGCAAAAAACAAAAAACAAAACTGCAGTCTAAATCTCCTCATGATAAAAGTCTGGACACAGTGGGCATGGCTGGGTTCTTTATTCTCACATTTTTACCACTTGTCTGAAGTCATCTTATGCATCTAAATGCAAAGCTGCCTAGAAATCATCTGCTACTATCAAACATGGCCTAGACTTCTTATAAAATCTGCAATAAGCTTTAACAATATAAAACAGAAGATGATGGACAGCAGCCACCTTGGGATAACTTCCTTTAATAACCCCCTAGATTAAGGTTTCTTATTCACAAGCTGAAGGATATTGCATTGAGATATCTATTGATGAAAAATATTGAAAAACAAGCTCTTCTGAGTCCTCAATATTGTTAAATATTATACTATTCATGAAAAGAAACAAGAGTCCTGATTCTTTAATCAATGCATTACTTGAACACTCATTAATTCACCTCTTTTTAAGGGATTAAACCCCTGCTGGGTTGCTGCTAACTAGCTTTGTGCTGCAGGTGCTCTGCAGGCAATTTTAATGAACTGAAGGAGAAATCAATTACAAGCTAAAGGAATAAAATGTCACGGTAAGCGCAGTTGCAGGAGAGGGAGATGTCAAGAGATGATTAGCCTGCTCACAGTTTAAAGAGGGAGCATTAGCAGCATAAAAATGAACATTCAGACTCAGACTGAAAAGCTGAAATTGTTTCTTTCCAAGCTAAAGTGCTGTCATCTAATAGGGCTCATGGTATTTCCAGAGGTTTAGTAAATAGAATAACAGTTCCTATCTTATTTGGCTTAAAATTAATTATCAGAATGTTTTTTAAGTACATTGGGATATCAGTATAAGCAAGGAAGAGAGTTTTACATGTTTCTGATGAATGCAGGAAATAGTTGCAGATAGATGAGGGACATGGATGGTTTCGTATTTAGCAGATTATAAACTGCATACAGGTTTTTACTATATATTTGTTGCCTTTTTTTTTATTTTAAATTTGTTAAATATTGAAACCCTAAACTTTAACTTGTTCTATGAGAATATAATGTGTATATCAAACTCAGCTTCTCAGGGGTTGGTTTCCTTTGACTTTTAGAATAACGTGGATCTAAAAGCTAAGCTTTTTTTAAAAGTAATTAGCAAGAGGTTTTACACTCTTGCTAATTACTTAATTGTCTGATTGAGGTACTTTGTAGAAGATTTAAAGGTAGCAGGACACTGGAACCCAAAACATAGCTTAACTTTGAAGGACAAGGACACAGGGTTGTTACGTGAAATAAAATCCAGAGCAACCAATAGCAGAATTCAGCAATCATGTAAATATAAATACATCTGTTTTTCCAAGGCCTTCAGATGCTTATCAAAAACATTAAAAAAAATAAAAAAAAACAGAAACAAGGAGATCAAGAAAAACGGCATACATGTCAGATTTAAAAGGTCTAAGGTATCACAATCTTTGAGCAGAGAGTCCGAGCACTGTTAAATCCACCATCTGAAAATGGAGGAGAGTGCCCTGGATTCTACCTGTTCGTTCTACTAAACCATACCGGCTGGGAAAAAAGAGGTGGAGCTGCAGAGATCCACTTAATTTGCTTTGGGTTTAGCTACCAGCAGAAAGAATAACCCTAACATACAGCAAGAGCTTAGATGAAATGCTCAGGACAAGAGATACATGTGCTAGAACGGTAATGTAAATGAGAGTCAGTATTCGGACTTTAAAAAATATCATCAGAATCTCTCCAACCATTAAAATTTGTTTTCTAAAGAATTAGCTAAATGTATCTACATCTCCAATGTCACAAAAATATATATACTTTTGAATATGCATTGTGATTATAACACAAAAATTAATCGTCACTGTATGTTTAATTATCTGCTGTTGATAATGATTGATAATGTATTTATTTGTAAATTATTATTTACATGCACATTGCATTATTTACAAATCATTATTTACTTATTTAATCATTAATAATTATAATTAATGAATTATTGATTTGCTGTTACTTATTACTGTATGTTTAATGGCATACCCACTTTAACAGCCTAGAAGGATCTGTGTGTTCTAATAATCAGAAAGCCTACCTCCTTCTATAAAGTTTATGTACTGTATTCATATACTGTCCGATTTCTATGGTGCATTTTCTGTCAGAGATGGAGAAATAAAATAGCTATTAGTGAAAAGAAATCTATAAACTTAAATATATATTATAGAATTACTATTATAAGGTGCAAAAGAAAAAACAGGATTTTACTTCCAGATGAAGAAGATATTTTTGCATATGCCCCTTGGTTTTTAGATTGGAATCTGAACTCTTACAAAGTTTTCAATAATTTAGGGAAAATCTACTTTGCATCACTGTTGGTGCAGCAGTAGTGCCAGTAGAGAGCAGCATCAACACACTGTTTATTTTAGTCCTCCAGGCTGCTCTGTGTATTTTTTCTGTTGTTTTCAGTATTATTTTCTTTATTTGATTTTTTTTTTAAACTAGGACAAAAAAAGGCATCTGGTTCTGCACCAGAGATATGGAAGCATCTGCCACTTCTTAACGTTGAAAAGCTGATGTGTGCAAGAAGTGAAGGGGGCTCTTTTATACATTTACCTGAGCTTGCACACTGTGTATGCTTATGTTTCAGTCTATTTGAAAGGATTTTTTGTGGTTTCTGCCAAAGACTCCTGAGGCAGAGCACGGATCAGCATTTATTCCACACAGTAACAAGCGTGGAATTCCAACTTTCCTGAAAAGCTGATTTAAAGCTGAAAGTTGTTTGGAGGATTAGCTGTAAGAGGC